CTTGTCTCCTTTGTCCTTTGTCCTCCTGCCTGTGTCCTGAAAATCCATCTCAGTGGTCACTGAAGGAGGACAGAGGAGAAATGAGGCTAGATGTAAATTAATGAGGATGCACAGGTGACTCATTTGTTGAAGTGATTTTACTTCAAGATGATCCAACTTTCTGGTCTGTATTGCTTCTGTTTGTAACTTTAAAAAGCGTATGGCATCACTTCACATTAAGCCGCGTTGCGATCCTAAATATAAATCATGTCGCGAGCACTGTTGCATCAGAAATCATGAAATGCAGGAATATTTGATGCAGTTGCATCAAATTTAATTGGCATCGCTTTAAAACGAGGCTCACAGGCGAGGATGTCTCATTTTGTTAAATGCCCGCTGTCTTTCTCTTTCCTCGTGTCTCTCCCTCGTCTCATCTGCTCGTATCTTTGTGAGATGGAGTAAGACGCGAGGAGAGGAATCAAGGATAGGCATTTCTGGGAATGAGAACTGGGGGTGGTCAGTATGTGTGCTGTCTTTCTGTTTATCACTCCCTGCTGTTTCCAGAGCTTGCGTTTCCTGCTGGTGTAATTTTTTTCTTTTGGATTGTCTTTTTGTTGAATTCAATTTGGAAAATCACTCAGCAGCAGTTTCTTCTGTTATTATGCCTGCCAGTCCAGTGTGTGTCCACACTCTAAATGGCACATAACAGCTGCTTACAGATTGCTTTAATGTTCAACTAATTTGCAATAAGAAGAATGAGACTGTCTCGCTTAGAGATAGGATGAGGAGCTCAGTAATTCAGGAGTGACTCAGAGTAGAGCTGATACTCCTACACTTAAAAGGAGCCGAATGAGGTGATCCAAGCATGTCATACTGGGTAGAGGCCCTGGGATAGACCCAAGATACATCTCGCGGGGGTAGCCTGGAGACACCACAGTGTTCCCCTGGATGAGTGGGAGGTCTGGGCTTCTCTGCTTAGGCTGCTGCCCTTGTGATGGATGGATGGATGGATGGATGGAGGCTTCATAGCAAATAAAACCTATGTGGATACTTTTCTCTCAAATAAATGGGATAATTATAAAAATATTGTTTAAAGTTGCACAAAAATTATGAGGATATTTGAGCACTATTTATTTTTAAAGAAAAGATCGGTCTACTAATATTTAACTCAAAACTAGAGCAAAGCTCAACCCTTTAAAATGTGAACCATGAAATAATTGTAAGAAATTAACTCAAACTTTTGAAACTGAAGAATTTATTAAACCCTCCAACTGTTTTTTTTTTTTTTAGTTAATTAAATAATAATTTGCATATATGAGTTGTAAGTTGTATCATATTTGCTGTACTGGGCTTCTTTTTTGTATCAAATGTGTCAAATATGATAGGCTAGGCATTAAAGGGTTAACCAAAACTGGTGTTTTCAAAACTGGTCTTTTAACATTTAATGTATAACTGCAAAGCTTCACCAAGCGGCTTTGTTGCCTGAACTTAACCAGAGGTCCAAGTCATGACGTTAACTCTGTACATCACCCACCACAAGCATAACTGAATATTATATCATTTAAAAAGGTTTGCCTGAAAATAGTTTTCTCTCTGCAAACTTGTGCACTCAGTTTGAGAACTATAAAATGAACTCCTGTGCAGAACATAAATGAAAAATAATGATTGCAACACAACGTGGTAAACAGTTACAGCAACTTAGTTCCAAAGCCACATGCACTCGATCACAGCTCAGATATATTGGTTATATTTTGATCATGTGAAGCCGCCAGTACTGAGTCTAACAAATAAATCGGCCATAGATGAGACAGGATGAATAATAAAGGATGTATAAAAATCCTTGTGGTTGGCAGGATTAGATGTCGGACACTTTTCAAAACAGTGTCTTAAATCGTATATGTGCAGCTCAGGTAGTGTTAGCAGAGTTTTGACTGTAAAAGAAAAAAGTATTAAGTTGATTTGAGTTTAAAATTTGACTAATGAGCTGTCTGTTATGCACTATTTAGCATTTGGTTTATTGGTTTTTATGTGATTAAAGGGACACTAACAGTCCTCTTTTGAAGTCTGGAGCTTTTAATAAATCCACTGTGAGTGCAGAAGACAGATGGAAGCAAAGGGACCATGAGCCAAGGTGACACTGAACTGTCTCGTCTACTTAGACATGCCAAACTAGGCTTGGTGATGCTTCACCACACTCTTAAGAATACGCAGTGACAAGATCTTTTGCATTTATTAAATACTCTTTGCCACTTTTTCCCCATTTTGGAGCAGCAAAAAAAGAAAGAAAGATAAAAGGCTGTAAACAAAAAACTGACAACTTTAATATTATATAGGAAGCATGTTGAAAACAGTTGCCTGTTTATACAGCACCAGCATTCACTCCTCCCCTGTGCACAGTTTAGATCTTCACCATCTCCTGAAGAAAATAATGTCTCAGTAGCTGCCGCTCTGGTGCCGGGTAGGTAATAAATAAGTCTACTGGGATTGACCAAAAACAATGAGCTGAAAATGCCAAGAGCAACTCTCCACATACAGATTGCAACTAGATTTAATGTTTACATGAAAAATGTACATTTTTGAAAGTTTTAGTCACAGAAATGAAGCCTAGTTAGGAAGGCTCTCTTCCTTAACATACAATTTTGCTACAACCTCTATGAGTTAATTTTTTAAAGGTTATTCACATTCATCACAAACGAGCCGAGCTGCCCTGCTCTGCATCCTTCTACACCAAAGTCCCATCATAAGGACCTGTTGTTATTCAGTTTGTGGTGAAAATAAGCTCAAGGTTGTAGTCAATAAAAAAGTTCAACTGCTGTTTATTTCATGATGAGAGAACATGAACAGGCTGTGGTGATGCTATGCTTTGGGCTCGCAACTGTATAAAATAATGTGAAAGCAACATGTTCAGATTATGTCCAAAATGCCAACTGGACAGTGCTTTATTGAACGCTCCCGGTCAAGATATTGACCCGCATCAAATTCATCACGGAGCTGCAGGTGGCACGTTACAGCCGACACAAATAAGCCAACACACACAAAAAAACGCTCCATATTCAGAGCAAAACATGCACTAAGCACTATTTTAACGATGCAGTTATTCTGTTATGAATGCCATCCCAGGTGTTTTAGCACCCTACCTCCCTGGTATCGGTATTCAAAACAAGTTTGTGGGGGTCTGTTTATGTGCGGCGATATTTCAAAATGTCAGGGTGTGAACTTGTGCTGTCTGTGTGGTGCGATGTTATTAATGGTACCAGTACCAGACACAGCCCCGCAGCCGGGGCTGAAGGATAAGTCATCGATGGCCAGGACCTCAGAGGCCTCGCTGTCAGCTGAAAGTTCTCCTCGAATCACCACCTGGTAGATAAAGAAAGAAAGAATTGATAAAAGAGTACTCAGCCACCACTTTTAATTTACACCATTGGTTTGCTTTGGTGGTCATGCATGCATATAGTATGTGTAGAGCATCTGTGAATGTGGTGTTTACTGTGCTTAGACATGTGTAAGCCTATAGCTCTTGCTCCAAGCTAAAGCTGTGAGCTTATTCACATGTTAGTGGGAAACTAGTGGGACAGAAGTTGTTCATAATATAACTTATATGAGCTTAATCTTCCTATTTTGGTGTGTTAACTTTCTCACATTTACTTGCTGGCAGCATAAATGTGCAGTTTAAGGCTGATGTGATGTAACCTCTGCAGTTCAGTTAGATGTGATCTAAAGTGACCTGAGATTTTGAAGCAATACAAATAAAGCTGATTCAAATCCAGAGGGGTCTGTTATTGAGAAGCACAGCCATAAACAAACCAACCAGTTAGATTTTCTTCGGCAAACATGGGCCAAATCTGTGATTCATACATTTACCAGCCACTTCTTTAGGTACACTATAATTACTCTTTAACAGCCAATCACATGGCAGCAGCCCAATTAATTTATGCATGTAGACTTGATCAAGATGACATGCTGAAGTTCAACAGATGGTAGGGTCAGAATTTGGTGTAAACAGCACGAACTAAACCATCCTATGTTGTATCAGTGGTTCAGGCATGACAATGAGTTACATCTGAGAGAGGGTAAAAGGTCTTAACATCCAGACTTTATGTCAAAAATGACACAGAGTGCTATAAAAGAGTTTATCTACATGTGCTTTTGCTAATTGTAAATCATCTTTATTCTTGGTTATGAAAGTCACGAAAGAAATCTAATCAATATGCTGTATGAAAAATGCAGTTCAAGTAATGAAAATTATTGTAGTGTTTGGATTTTGTTTGCATAGACAAATAGACATGATCCAGTTTAGATTTGTGTCTCTGTGTGTTTGCAGGCATGTGAAAGATAAGAAATGTGTCACTAACCCATCATTATACATGATTGTGAATAAGAGAAATGGTATTAAGTGTCATAATTGTTGAACACCGAACTATAACTCATAAGATTTTTCTGACAGTTAATGAAGCTTAACTGCTTGATACTGATCAGATTATAATCAGGTTTAAGTTTAATGGATATAACAAATAATAGTAATATAATAATAGCAGGCCTCTCACTGGGTGTGTGTGTGTGTGTGTGTGTGTGTGTGTGTGTGTGTGTGTGTGTGTGTGTGTGTG